TAAATGGCCTCAATTCACCAATTAAAAGAAAGGGACTGGCAGAATGGATTAAGAATCGACATCCAAACATATGCTGTCTATAAGAAACCCATTTAACCCTAAAGGAAACTCGTAGACTGAAAGTCAAAGGATGGAAAACAATACTTCATGTAACAGGAACAACAACAACAAAAAAAAAACAAGGGTAGCTATCCTGTTTTCAGACAATGTGAACTTCAAACCAAGAATGATCCAAAGAGATAAAGAAGGTCACTACATACTACTTAGGAGAAAACTTCAAGAGGAAGGGATGACAATCATAACTATAAATACACCAAATTGGGGAGTACCCAGCTATACAAAACAATATTAACAGTAATGAAAAATCAAATAAGCAATAACACAATTATAACAGGAGACCTTAACACCCCATTGATACAAAGGGACAGATCAACTAGACAGAAAATCAACAAAGAAAGAACAGAATCACGCCTGTGAACAAATGGACTTCGTGGACATATGCAGAGTGTTCGACACAACATGAGAATATACATTCTTCTCAGCAGCACATGGGACATTCTCTAAAATAGACCATACACTAGTCCAAAGAACATGCAAAAGAATTGAAAATATCCCATGCATGTTATCAGATCATAGTGCCATAAAACTAGAAACTAATGACAAAAGAAACTGCAAAATCCCCTCACAAACATATGGAAATTGAATAATACACTCCTGAGCAATCAGTTGGTCACAGAGGAAATTAAAGAAGAAATTACAAGCAAAGAAATAACAAATAAAACCTATCAGAACCTGTGGGATGCAATGAAAGCAGTCCTCAGAGGAAAATTTATTGTGGTGCATTCTCACATCAGGAAAATGGAACAAACATAAATAAACAAGCTGCTGCTACACCTCAAACATCTAGAAAAAGAAGAGCAAGTCAAACCCAAAGCCAAAAGAAGGGAGGAAATTACAAACATCAGAGCAGAAATCAATGCAACAGAGACAAAGAAAACAACACAAAGAATCAATGAATCCAAGAGTTGGTTCTTGGAAAAAATAAATAAAACTGATAAGCACCTAGCCAACCATATTAAAAACAGGAAAGAAAAAACTCAAATTTATGCAATAAGAAATAAAAAGGGTAAAATCACTAGAGACCCTGTGGAAATACAGAAGATTATCAATAACTATTTTTAAAATCTCTACTCTCATAGGCTTGATAACACAGAAGAAATGGACAGATTCCTAAACATAAATTTCTAAATATGAAGTACTGGATCAAGAAGATCTAAAACTGCCAAGTAACCCAATTTTAGTTAATGAACTTGAAAATCTAATTAGAACCTTACCAACAAAGAAAAGCTCAAGACCTGATGGATTCACAACTGAATTCTACAAGAAATTCAAAGACTTAATACCAACACTCCTCAAACTCTTCAATGAAATTGAAAGGGAAGCAATTTTCTCTAACTCTTTCCTGGAAAAAAGTATTACTCTAATACCAAAACCAGAGAAAAATCCAAACAAAAAAGAGAACTACAGGCCAGTCTCCCTTATGAACACAGATGCAAAAATTCTTAATAAAGTATTGACAAACTGAAGGCAACAAATCATCAAGAAGATTATACACCATGACCAAGTGGGATTCATTCCAGGAACACAGGGATGGTTCAACGTACGCAAATCAATAAATGTAAACTACCAGATCAACAGAGCCAAAATTAAGAATCACATAATCATTTCTATCGATGCAGAAAAAGCTTTTAATAAGGCCCAACACTCATTCATGGTAACAACCTTACAGAATAATGGAATAGATGATCTTTACCTCAATATGATAAAACCCATCCATGACAAACCAACAGCCAGCATTATATTAAATGGCCAAAAACTGAAAGCCTTTAATTCTAAAATCAGGAACAAGACAAGGATGTCCATTATTACCACCCCTATTCAATATAGGGCTGGAAATACTAGCCAGAGCAATTAGACAAGAGAAGGAAATAAAAGGAGTAAAGGCAGGAAAAGAAGTTAAATTACCATTATTTGCAGATGACATGATACTCTACATAGAAGATCCCCAAAACTCCACTGAAAGACTAGTAGGTAAAATAACTAAATTCAATAATGTAGCTGGATACAAAATCAGTAACATTCCTATACACAAACAACAAACTCCTAAGAGAAAAATAAAAGAAGTCAAATCTATCACAATAGCATCCAAAAAAATGAAATACTTAGAAATCAACCTAACAAAAGAAGTAAAAGTTCTATTCAGGGAAAATTATAATATCTGAAAAAATAAATTAAAGAGGATCTAAAAAAATAGAAAGACATGCCTTGTTCATGGATAAGAAAAACAAACATTGTGAAAATGGTCGTTCTCTCAAAATTGTTATACAGATTTAATGTAATCCCAATCAAAATACCACTAGCACACCTCACAGATATAGAGAAATCACTCCTAAAATTCATCTGGAAGAAGAGAACTAGAATAGCAAAGGCAATTCTAAGCGCCAAAGGCAAGCCAGGAGGCATCACAATCTCTGACTGGAAGTTATACTACAAAGCTACTGTAATAAAATCAACATGTTACTGAAATAAAAACAGACCTAAAGATCAATCAAATAAATTATAAGATACATCTACAACTACAAACATACTTAGCCAACTTATCTTTGATAAACGGGCCAAACACGTTCACTAGAAAAAAGATAGTCTCTTTAATAAATGGTGCTGGGAAAGTCGGCTCTCCACATGCTGAAAACTAAAACTAGACCCATGCCTATCACCCTGTACTAAAATCTAAATGGATCCAAGATCTAAATATTAAAACAGAAACAGTAAATCTATTGGAAGACAAAGTAGGTAGAAATCTTAAAGTCATGGGGGTAGGTATAGAATTCATGAACAAGAATCAAACTGCATGCAAAATACCTCACAGAATCAATAACTGGGATCACCTCTTATTAAAGAGTTTTTGCATGAGAAATCTCCAGCATAGTGAGAAGAAAATCGACAAACTGGGAAAAAAAAATCTTAATGAACTGTCCCTCAGACAAAGGACTTCTGCCTATAACATATAAAGAATTTTTAAAAATCAGAACCCTGAAATTCAAAGACCTAATCCAAAAATGGGCATCTCAGATGAATATACACTTCTCAGATGAAGAAATACAAACTGCAAATAAATACATGAAAAAATGTTCAGCATCATTAGTCATTAGAGAAATGCAAATTAAAACAATACTGAGATTCCATCTCTCTCCAGAAAGAATGGCCAGGATAAAGAAAACTAACAAATGCTGGAGACGCTGTGGGGAAAAAGGAACTCTCCTGCACTGTTGGTGGGAATACCGATTGGTGCAACCACTGTGGAGGTCAGTCTGGAAGTTCTTCAAAAAGCTGGGATTGCAAGTCCATTTGATCCAGCTATTCCACTTCTGGGCATATTCCCAGAAGAACTAAAAACATCATATCACAATCATGTGCACCCATGTTTATAGTAGCACAATTTGTAATAGCCAGATCTTGGAAACAACCTAAATGCCCACCAACTGATGAATGGATAAAAAAGCTGTGATATTTTTTTACAATGGAGTACTACTTTGCCATAAAGAATGATCATATTGAGATATTTATAAATAAATGGATATAACTTGATACTATATTCATAAGTAAAATAAATCAAACTCACATGTGTAAATACCATATCGTCTCCCTAGTATAAGAAATGGTAAGAGTACATAAGATACAAAAACTTAATAAATACAGTGAAAGGATAAGAATCTGCTTAAAGGGGGAAAATAGTATCTTAGGAAAAGGAGGAAAAAGAAAAAGGGAAAACAGAAAATATCTAAAATTATATAAACACACAGGATAGCTACAATGAGTGTGCTACAAATGTGTAAGTTCTTAGAACAAATGGGGCTGGAGATTTAGCTCAGCGGCATAAGCGCCTGCCTTGCAAGCAGGCAGTCGTGAGTTCGATCCCGGTACCGATAAAAAAGAAAAAGACCAAAAAAAAAAAAAAGTTCTTAGAACAAAACAGTTAACATTCACAAGTTTGGAACAATTGTGCATGTTAGTGTATAGTGATCTGAGAAATTCTTGAAGATCATTATGTAAAATAACAACCCTAGGTATGCTCCTAACCACTTGTTTTGAAGGTCTATATTATCAGTGTTTTGAGCTATTTGCTACTGTTATTTATTTGTCTTTTTTGTTTCATGTTTTTCTAGGAATTTGTTTTGATTTGTTTTGTTTTGTTTTTCCCTCTAATAAAGGATAGGTATACATGTAGAGGTTCATACATGCATGGAACTTCTCCTAAATAGTTTATGAGAATCGATTATATAATACACGATTCAATGAACAGCTACTTTGAAGAAAAAGAGACATTATAGTATCCATTGCTGATTCCTTATCATCATGCTGTGAAATCCAGTAATGCCATTATTCTTTGTTCACAGTGATTTTAGTCTGTTTTGTTTTGTTTAATTTCAACTTACATGAAGGTGTGGACAGCTATTTTTAAGAGAACAAGAGACACTATGGCAGCCATTGTTGATTTCTCTATCATCTAGTTTTGAAGGCCTATAATGCTTCATCATTCTGTTTCTGATCTGTTTAATACTATTTTGTTTTGTATGAATTCATTGTGTGTGAAGATATGGACAACTATTTAGAAGAAAACAAGAAACACTATGATAGCCAGTGATGAGCTCCTGTTATCTTGCTTTGAAATCTGCATCATTTACATTATTTTCTTCTGATCGGCTTTGTTCTGTTTTGTTATGTTGAGTTTTACCCTCTTTAAAATAAAATTTAAGAAAAGTAAAAAAATAAAAAAACTATAACCTGAGCAATTATATTTTGTAACATCTTCTGTTAATCCAAAATATTTGTAAATTAAAAAAAAAAAAACCTAAGGTACCTGGTATCTAAACTGTTACTTGGAAGACTTGAAGGATTTCTTAAGAAGACTAACTTCAGATGATTATAGACACTCTTACCTTGAAAAGATTGTTTGGCTCTATCCACTAGTTCATCAATAGGATAACTGGCCAAATTTCCTCTGGCATGTTTAGTTTTGCAGTAGGTACAAGCATTGAGACACCTGTTCAAAGAATGGCAATAAATAAGACTCAAAGCTTTAAAGACAGATTATACATAACATAGCAGGTACCAAAAATGTACCTAATGTATAGGAAAGTTACAAAAAAAATTATCTGCATGTCTCATCTTTATTTTATTTCCACTAAGCAATCTGCAATTCTTTTGAGTTTCTAATTACTGAAGACTATTTCTAAAAATCATAGTATTATCTTAAAATACACATACTCATGAGGAACAAATTACAGATGCTTACAATAACTAATCAAAAGTAATTCAAGACACTTTTTGTAAGCTATTGACATTTGTTCATATACCTAGAAAGTTTCAGGATTGCTCATACATGCCTTTTTATTACAAATGAGAAAGCAGTCATTAAACTATCAAGTAATGATATAAGAATACAAGTACAACATAAAAAGACTTCCTTAAATTTTTCAGGTATTATTTTTCACTCCTTGAACTCAGAAATTAAAACGTCTACTGATATTTCTTGGAATTGCAGTAGTCAAATTAAAAAAGTAAAATGACAGTATTAATTTTTAAAAATTAAGACTTCTTTTCCAGTAAGTTTATAGAAATGATTTTTAAAAACTATCTTTTTTCACATATAAATGTTGATTTTAGTCTTGGAGTTTAAAAATATAATGCAAATTTCTTATTATAAGAGAGAGAATCACAACATTTAAAAAAGTTCTAGCCCCGTATATTGGCACACACAGTAATTCCAGCATACCGGGAGGATTAGACAGGAGGATCAAAAGTTTAAGAACAGCCTAATGATTTAATAAGGTCCTGTCTCACAAACAAACAAAAAAACATAAACTTAAAAAACAAGGTAGATGGAGGGGGTTGTGGATATAGCTCAGTGTGAAGTGTCTGGGTTCAATCTCCATTAAGAGCAAAGAAAACACAAAGTCCCATGCAAAACTGATGTGATTCAGCAACAATGAAAGAAGAGGAGCACTGATCTAACTGAAATCTTAAGAGCTGAACCTGACTAACATGTAATTTTATTGATATATGACAATAAAATGTGTAGACCTCACTGTGCTCCACAGTCAAACAGGGCACACTTAATTTCTGAAAATTTCTGAATGGAACCTTCATGTATAATAATGGACATATTACAATGTGTTTTACTGTTTAACCAAACACCTACCTAATCTTAAATTCTGACACTCTCTTCCTAACAATGAGCCATGGCCTCTGTCTTGGGAACAGGCTCTGCTCTCCACAGGCGTGTCATCTCTGTATAAAGTCCATCCTTTCCATCAGAAGGGAAAGGAGGAATCACTCCGGTTATCTTCTCTTATGGAGGATAACTCCCCTGTTCAGCCTGAGTGCCAAGCTCAAATAATACTGTAAATATAACATCATCTCATTCAGCCTTCCAGAGTTACACATTTTATAGACGAAGAGTACCTCTAAACATCAAGTAAGTGGCTAGCTCAAGGTCAGGTCACAGTTGCAATTCAAACCCATGCTTGTGAGATTCCAAACTCCACGCAGAGTCCATATCAGGCCATCTCCCCACAGTAAATATATGTCAACATGCTTGTGCCAGGGGTGTGCTGTAGTGGGAGAGCACGTGTGTGGCACGTATAGGGCTCTGGGTTGGATTCCCAGCATCCCCCTCAAAAAGAATCCTAGCTACATACAAATCCAAATAATAATAAAGATAATCATCCAACCAGATATAATGCAATATAGCATATGTACAGTGCCATGACCTATGCTTATCCACCAGTGTACAAAACAGTGTGTTTAAAAATATATGTTTTTTTCCTTTGGTCTTTAGGAATCTAAAGACAGGCTTCTTGTCTCCTCACTGGCCCAAATTGTCACTTTCATCCTTGTCGCTGTCATCCAATTTCTGTCTTACTTCCTCCTGCTGGGTCTGTGACAAAATGTATCGCCTCATCTGATCTGTCATGTTCTTTCCAATTTAACAGATCGGGTTCTCCGAGCTGCGTATTGGGGCACAGGAAGCCCAACATTTTCTTTTGCCTTTTTCTCAAGTGTCTCCACACTCTGTCTACTCCCGGCAGTAGGCTGTGCCCTGCTCCTGGCATCCCCTTAGAACTGGCATTCACTCAGCTTGAATCAGCACCTACCAGGCAGTCTGCCTTCTCCACCTCCTAAGACCCAGTCAGGTCTTCTTTGTCCTATTAACAATGAGAGAAATATAATGGAAGCTACTACTATTTCTGACTTGGGCTGTTTCTGTACAGCAGTGGTCTAATGGGATACCAGCTGGGAAAAAGGGGCAGGAGAAAGAAAACAGAAACACATTTTAATCATTTATAATATAAATGAATTTATACACATGAATAACTTAGTATCGTATCGGCATTTATTAAGTGATCACTAAGTACTAGTTGTTTAATGTGATTGTTTTAAAAAAAATGTTGTAAGGAAATAATTACACGCTATCCTGTTCCAGGTATATCCTGCTTTGTGGAACAGATGTGTTGCTGATAACTTGTCTTAAAAGCCAACTATAGAAACCAATCATATTTTCCTACTGTCTTGCTTAATAAAGGTGGAAACATTCCCCACAGAAAAATCACTCATGAAAATGCATAAAAAGTTTAAATAAAACAAGCTGATATTTTAAAACATTTATAATAAAATAAGCCAGGAAATATAAATATTACATTAAGAATTCAAAATATTCTTCAGTAAATGATTCCCCTGGGTTTAATTAAAGTTGCTGATGTGATATATTTGGAGTCTGAACTCTTTATTACATAAAATGGGTTCTCTTATCCACAGCTATCAAAATAATGCTTCATATTAAATTTTTAGTATTTAATACTAGATTAAAGCAATTTTTTTCTACAGTGTACATTTCTTTAAGCATGCCACATTAGTACCAGCTCAAGCATTAACTTTTTTAGGCCTTACATTTAAAAAGGAAAGAAATTTTTTTACCATATAAGGGGAAAACATGCAGTGCCAAATCAGAAGAGAAATAGCTTTTTGATGCTTAAAAACAGTTTTCCCAACCAAGAACTGTATCGACCAATCACTTCAATACGTCAAGCTGAAAATAAAGAATTCACAATAGAAATGTTTGATAGTTTCAATTATCTGTAAACAATTAAATAATTGTTTAAGAATAAGAACACTGAGCCAGTTTCTTTAACCACCAGAAAACAAAAGATCTTTGACTGCTGAAAGCCAAAGCCAAAATGAGATGGCTGTTGAGCTGCAAGGAAGACACAGAATCCTGCAAGATAGAGACCGTGGCGATGAGGGATAACGCCAGCACGCCACCCTGCTGACCTCTGCCACGTGGATGCCTGCCAAGAAATAAGTAAAGGCTGCACAGCAGAGAGAGAGCGAACATTTCATTCAGCAGAAGAACCTTCTAGTCTTAAAAAGCATCTGTAGTGGGGCTGGGGATTTAGCTCAGCGGCATAAGCACCTGCCTTACAAGCAGGCAGTCGTGAGTTCGATCCCCAGTACTGATAAAAAGGAAAAAGACAAAAAAAAAAAAAAAAAAAAAAAAAAAAAAGCATCTGTAGTAGAATATTCTAAATTATACAAACTAAAAAATAAGTCTTTACTAATTATAATATTCCAAGATGATTTAAACATTTAACAAATCAATATACTACTTGACCACCTAAAGCAAATGAAAACTAAGTCATAACATATTCAGTCCTTTCTGAAAAATGAGTACCTTTAGCTATCACAAATTCTGAAATAATTTATGAACCAGAATTACACTTTTAAAAAGTCACCTCTACTAATAAGTATTTCTTTTTTGGAAGGAAAAAATAGAAAAGCCTACTGTGTCTCAAGTTTCTTTTTGTCTCCACTTCAGGTCAAGAATAAGTTTGAATATGAAAAAATTACTTAGACCCAGGCATTCATACTTTCAACCAGCATATTCCATTTGACTCAAATAACTTTATTCTTACTTTTAATCAATTGATAGAGTATAAGATCTTTCTCAAAGCATCAGATGTTACAGCAAGACTTCAGTAAGAGCTAAATCTAGGAAAAATCAATTGTGATCTGTCCTACTCCTCCACACTGAAGCATCATCAAGCAAAGGAGGACACCACCAGTCATATTCTGCTTCACTAAAGACACAATGACTCACTCTTTATAAGGATACATGATGACTGTGTTTATCCTAACAATCTCACTAAATTACAAATTACCAATGGAATAAGTGCATAGTTTACTACTGTAACATACTAGTCTGTAAGTAAAATATCAATAAAGCTCAGTGTTATTGGTAAATTCATAATGGACCAGACCAGTTATCAAGCCAATACTTGGCTACACAGCCAAGAAACATACAAGCAGAACAGTATCCAGGAAGATGGAGAGACAAGGGGAAAAAGGAAACCAGGAATTTGGAAGCCATAGGGCAGCGATGGTAAACCTTGTAGAGCTTCCAATGATAAACAGCTGGCTGTGGCATATATGCCACAGAATTGCCACCACTGGCATCGGGCAATAATATGGATCTTGCCAGGGAAAGGGTCATCACTCTTGTTTTAAAAGTCAGGAAGCTGCGAACAGGAAACTGAAGCTTGAAGATCACAACTTTAGACCAAGACCCCCTACAGAAGATAATCTTTATAGTGTACCAGAAAGCCTTCCTACCAAGAGAACTCCATCAAAAATCTCCCACTTTCAATATTAACTGTCTTTTAACAGTTTCCCAGAGCTTGGGATGTAACAGTACATTGGAAATGCACACACATAAAACTAAGTCACCAAATAGGGCACCAACTTTTTCTTTTGCCAAGTGAGGACATCATTTTTAAACTACCTTGAGCTGTATCATAATTTTAGTTAAGGAACAGCATAATTAAGACAAGATTGGGAATGCCACAATGAAGGCTCATGTGTATATCCACAAAAAAAACTTCTGGTTCTATTTTCCTTATACAACTCATTTCATCACAGACCAGCAAAAAACAATCAAAGTCTGCAGAATCTATGGCTGTGGGTGATAACATTTCTCCTGTATTTTCC